GCCTGTCCCTCGGGCTCGCTCGCTAGCACACGCTGGGCTTTATCACTCAGACTCTTTGGCCCTGTTCCTGCTCCTGTCCCTCACGCTGGAGCACACGGTGGAAGTGCTCTCATATGAGAGTTTAAATTGTATACCATTAGCAGTACTCCCACATTTCATTGGTCCTAGAACATTGAACGTGTTCTTCAAAATACTTAATTTCTGCACAAAATTTATAAGCATGCAACAATATTAGAAAATGAGCTCAATCTTCAAAGAGCACTTCCAGTGTTGGAAGGCCCCCCAGGGCAATTGCTTATTAAATCGCCTCCAATGAATAGTAACTACCTTTAATGAACAATAATTGCATTTTGCATCTCCACCCCTAAACTGAATAGCCATGGCAATAGACAATAAAATATTAGTATTTTTCATTTTATAAAATAATAAAAAATAATTTTATTTGTAATTTTATATATGATTTTTAATCGGTCGTGTTGCGCCACGTGTTATTAAATAAGAAATTACAACCCAAAGTATTTGAGAAAATATAAAATTGTGGTGTAAGGTAGAAGATAATGATAAGATATTTATAGAAAAATTAAATCATTTTTTTTTAAATTTTCTTTTTTTTTTATTAATTTTTAAATTTTTTATTATTAATTTTATAATGTGACTGACGTTATCCTAACGTCAACCTTGCATCAGCGTCCTCATGCGCTCGGGCCTGCGATTCGCGCCTCCCCTCTCACACGCCCCCTCCCCTTCAGCCCAATCGCCTGCATGGACTAGAGCAAAGAAGGGAAGCAATTGGATTGAAAAGGTCTCCGGTCCACCGGGCTATCTTTAATGTTGGACTTGCTCTAAGTAGATTTCTCTTTGAATTACGTAATTCAACTCACAAACCGCAACCACCACATTTTTAATCAATAATTATGATCAGTGAGATATTAATGTACAGATCAGCGAGATAGTAATGGTACCTTAGTCCCACATGCAAACATGATCCAAACATGATTGCAAACCCATTTTTGAGACATGCTTATGAAAGGATGTGACATGAATTGCCTTTGTTAACGGGTCTACTATCATATGAGTGCTTAGATGCTCAATATCGATCACTCCTTTTTTCTAATTTCATCTTGAACCTTCAAGTTTTTTATATCCATGAGTCTTTATTTTTAGCAAAAAAAAAAAAAAAAAAAAAAAAAAAACAGTTTGAAGTGTTGTCACAATAAATCCTTAACGTTTATTAATGTTGTTTACCACTTTCATTTCACTTATGAAATTCTTCAACCAAACACTTTGCTTCATATGGTCTAAGCAGCCTACATACTCAAACTCCATATGGTCTAAGCAGCCTACATACTCTCCTCCACTTGTGGACATTCTGTCATCAATACAACCTTCCAAACCTACACATGCACAACACATTACTTCCAATTTTCAACTCGATGAAAATAGTTTTGATTTTGTTCAATATCTCACACTCTCTTTCCTGCATTCAAGCGAGCTAAGCCAAGATTTGATTAAAACCTTCCTAGCACACTAAGAGCAAGTTCCAAATCAGGTCTTATACGTACATGTGCATAACTACACTTCCAACTAATGAAGCATGAGGCTTGTCCTTCATTAATTACTTCATCATAGTCAGTCACATAACATTGAGACAAGGAGAATTTATCACCTTTTGCAATAGGAACATCACCTCCACTACAGTTTTTCATGTTGAACCTTTTAAGAGCTCTATCAATATAGTTCTTTTGTGTCAAATCTAGCGTCTCTTCTCTCTGTTTCTGACTATTTCAATTTCTAAAACATAATGTGACTCACCCAAATCTTTTAATATAAAAGCATAACCATTAGACAACTTTAACATGACTTGACCAACAAACTCAACATTAACTCGATTTCCATTTCCATAGACAAAAGTTACTTTTGTCCTTCTGGCTTTGAAATCATTTTCTTTATCAACTAGTCTTAAAAGTTAAAACCAATAATCTTTTTTTGTTTTTTTGGGAAAAAACCAATAATCTTTCTTATGGAATGAAAACACTTTTTAAAATTGATCTTATTAATCTTGCGGTTAGGTCTAGTGGGGGCACCTTCATTCTTAGTGGCTACAACATTATTATTAGCAGTTTTAATTGAACCTTAACGAAAACCTGATTTTGGACCACCTGATTTTTCTTTGTAGTTGCCATTCAGTTTTTCAATATTCATGACTGTTAAACATAAGACTTAGTGTATTGAAACATGTAATAAGAACCAAAATGATTTGAGAATTCATAAGGTCGGTGACATAGAATGAGCAACTTTATTGCTTTTGTCACACAAAATTATAGATTCAGTCACAAAATTATAGATTCATAAGGTCGGTGACATAGAATCAGCACCATTCATTCAATGCAATTGCATGTTAACAAATGAGATTGCAGAAGAAGAACTAGATTCGATTAAACCAAGTCTTAAACTACATCTACTATCATAAAACCCTAACCAGTAATTACATTATATTTATTATAGTCTGCAAAACTTACTTGCAGATGAAGATATCACGTCTTCTCTTCACTTGGTACCTCACAGTTCTCTACTCTCAATAGGACAAGCACATGATAGAACCACTTATCTCTAAAAAGGAGACCTATCTATACACGTAAAAGTGATAACTGCTCTTCCTATTATGGCTTCAGTTATGATCAGTTAATTAAAGTTAGTAAACCGAGTAATTCAAATATTTAAGTTCTTTAATTTTCTTTACTTTTGATTTACACGTGTTAATTAACCATATTAAATCGAAATATTAATATAACTCTATACACTTGTTATACTATACACCAACAGTTGTTTCATTGTGTGAGACACATTGTGGGTAGGGAAGGTGGTAGATTATGTGCTATTGAGGAGGGTTCTAGATGCTGTTGATTGTGGATGGGGAGTCACAAAGCATGATATATAGCATATTTAGGTGTTAGTCGTTGACTCAAGGGAGACTCCACTTATGTAAATCCACGTGAAGCATTATTATATTGGAAGATAAATATTTTCTCAATATTACAAGAATTAGACAGTGGTGTCCAATAGTCGAAAAGTTAGAAGTTGACACTTGACAAGCATGTTGGATACCACTTCCAGTTCCTTATGCAATAAGAGTATCTCCGGCGTGCTTCAAATAGAGAGATTTTTTTTAATGTGATCGGAACATGAGATGGTACATTATGTATCAATATATAAATGATGAAATATGTATGTTAAAATTAATAACTTAAAAAATACAATTTTTCATCACTTATATAAAAATATATGATATATCATTCGTATTCTGATCACAATGAAAATTTTCTTCTTCAAATGCCTTGGCATCATCCTAAAATAATCATCTCCATCGGTACCAATGGGAAGGCAATTGGGGCAATGGCACAAGCCCTTTGGGACTGCCCTAGCAACTTCTGCCAGGACTTGCGCCCGCTTGCACAGGAATCAACCGAGTGTTGCCGCCCCCCACGTGGCGCAATCAAGAACATCCAACAGGAATAATTTTAAAAGTCAACGGCCAGTATTTATTCTAACAGTAAAATATTCAGCCCAAAAAATAGAGAAAACCCCAGCCACATCTTCCTCTCCTACCCCACCCTATCAGCCGCATCCCCGCTCACCCCAACCTCCACCTCCCACCAAAACCTGATTGCCAAATCCAGATTGACTCGCTTCCATTTCGACGGGCTACCCCGACCCAAGCTTCCCGGCCAGCCACTTCCCTTCCCTCTGTCTCTGTGAACGGACGACCAACCCTCCTTTTGCCTCTTCGATTCTAGCCGCGATTGGAATTTTTTTTTTTTTTAAATTAATTTCAACCGTGCGTATTTTCATGGGGTTTTCAATTCATTTAATCCACATGGCACCAAAATATTTGAATATGTTAGGTCCACGTGTGTGTCACATAGGCAATCAACAACAACTAAGTATGTCACATATGCATATTAACAGAAATTTTGACGGAATGAACATATTAACTTATAATATTAATATTTATAAACGACATTGATTAATTTTCTAATTTATTGACCATTTTGATGGAATGAAACATTTCTTATAAAAGCCCAAATATGTATATTTGTGAATAGTCCCTTTGTCTTATCATTGCCCTTCACAAACGAATAACTTGCACAAAAACAATTATTATTTAAAGTGATCGATAAGGGCAATTACCCTGCCATTGTGTTACCTTGCCCTCCTAAAATAGGTAAACTCTTGCTCTAAAGTGGAATTGAAATTTTAACAACCATCACTTGCCCCCAAAAAAAAAAAAAAATCCAATAATAAATTGATCCTAAATAATTAGATATCTGCATGAAACTTCATAAATCTTATGATATATTATATATGGCGTGTATTTGTTTTAACAGATATTCTTCTGATATTTATTAGTTATATCTTGCTATGATGTCATATGAGGACGTTAGAGCACATAATTATGTTTTCAGGAAGTTAGAGCACATAATTAATTAAGTTTATATGGTCTAAAACCAAATCATCCACAAAAGACCTGAATTTTCACGCAACTGTGGTACATATTAATTAAGGTACTTTTAACTGTTACTCAACTAATGCTAGTATTTCCAAAGTCCAAAGGAAAAGGATCCGGCAAGGATCCTTTTCCTAGGGATCATAGGAATTTCGTAATCTTACATGTTTATCGTATATCGTATGGTCAGTTTTTATTAGATACTATTTATATTTAATTTTAAATTTTAAATTTTAAAATAATTTCTAACCGCACGATATACGATGAACGGGTGAGATCACGAGATTCCTAGATCCCTAGCAGAAGTATCCGACGAGGATCCTTTTCCAAGTCCAAGCACCATGTACTTAGTTTTTCAACTTTGATTTGATTCAATGTGGACAAAGAACTTTGCAATAAGCAGTACTGGAGCTAGGGTGTGTCCGTGTTACATGATTCTTATATATGTACTGTTCCTGTTTGTAATGAAGTCATTTCATCACCTATAAAAACCCACTTCAGGTATTATAATATCTATCACCTTCCCTTTTTACTTCTCTCTTTATCTCTCTATCTCTCTCTCTGATTTACTGAACAGCATTTCTGCCATGAAGCCAGTGTTGCCAAGAAGTAGAACTCTTCCCAGCAGAATCCACCATGGAGCTGTGAGAGAGTCACTCAGTTTTTTATTTCATAATTATTCCTCAGAATATAGTCTTTCTCTTTTCTCGGTGTATTATTCAACCATTTTCTTTCAATATTCAGGTGGAAGAGAGGCATGACATCAGGCACTATCTGCAAGTGGAAGTCCAACCCAAAGTTAGTGAGTCCAAAGCCATAAACCCTCAGTCCAACTATTCCACATGCTTTGACGATGATGGTCGCTTGAAGAGAACAGGTTGCTACACAAATTTTTTATTGACGTGCTTACCATTTTCTTTGGACTGTAGAGTAATTGTATTGTGATGTGTTGATAATAATATATTATTATCTTTAAATCCTTGTTTAATTTTTCAACTTAAAGTAACCCAACTATTAAACTTAATCATGAACTTAAAAACCATGTAATTCAAAACCCCTATTAATAATATATTCAAGTAATTGAACCTTATACACTATATAGTTTAATAATCACATGGTGGTGGTGGTCAGTGGCGAAGCCAGGAATTGACTGGGGGAGGGGCGAACTTATCAAACCAACCGATGATAAAACATCTTTTGTCGCTAACTCTTCTTGGCATGATGTGGTCTCTAGGTTGACAATGATCATTTTGGAGATAGTGTCTACGAATTGCTTCACGATAATTAGGTAGATAATCAAGCATTCGACGTCTATGTCCATGATCTTCAGGAAGATTAGCCAAAATTTCATCTATCTCAGTGACCTCACTTTGTTGTGAACTACTCGGAATACTTGAAGGATGACTTCTTGGAATATTTGAAGGAGGAGGAGGAGGACCACTTTGAATATTTGAAGGAGAAGGACTACCTCAAATGTTTGAAGGAGGATTTAAGCATTGCTTTTTATAATATTGTTCCATTACGTAACTGTAAAATGGAGAGGAAAAAAAATTCTTACACTCTTAATCCTAGAGTAGACTATACTAATATGCATCATAATTAATCCAACCAACAATTCAATTAAGCAATACCAATAGCATACAAATTATTCAATAAATAAATATTCAATTCAACTAATCATATGAAATAATCAAGAATTCAAATTTTAATTTTCACCCAAAAAAATAATTTTAATTTCACATAAAAAAATCATAGAATCAGATCAATAATCAATAATCAATAATCATATTAGTGCATTACCATAAAATTCTATGCCAATCAAACAAAATGTGTATTAAATAATTAATTAAGGTTAAGGATTGTAAATTTGAGAATTAAATAAAACTACCTTAGAAGGCTGAAGCCGATGGCTCATCTGCTGGAGAAGTGTAGAGTGGCTAAAGCCTGGAAGAAGGTTGACAACTCAATTCGAATTAACAAATATTTCTTTTTGTTGCTGATGGGACTTTGGGGGGGTAGCTTTGCTGTGCTCTCTGGCAGAAAGGTTGAAAAACAAAAGGGGGCGTGTCCTGCACTGAGGTCTTAGAGGGATTAAGAGTGAAAGGGGGACACGGGGTCCCCCCAATATATATATTTTTATTTTGAAACCTACGAAACGGTGCCGTTTCAATTACTTTAAAAAAAAAAAATTAAAACGCAGACACTCAGTCTGCTGCGCGCACCAGACATCACCGAAGCAGGGAGCACTGAACCACTGAACCAATGGGTTTTCCGGCGAGCAAGGGGAGGGGCTGACCCAGATATCCAGTCCAGTTTTCCGGTGAGGGGAGTGGCGACTGCCACTCCTCGCCCTCACGTGGCTTCGCCAGTGGTGGTGGTGGTGGTGCATGCATGCAGGAACATTTTGGACTTCAGCATCACATATAATAACAGCGGTTATAGGATCTGGAGTCCTTTCCTTAGCATGGGCAATAGCACAGCTTGGTTGGGTTGCAGGACCAACTGTCCTCCTGCTCTTTGCCTTTGTCAATCTCTATACCTCCAATCTCCTAGCAATGTGTTACCGGACCGGCAACCCCATCACCGGACAGAGAAACTATACCTACATGGATGCTGTCAAGGCCAACTTAGGTAAGGGATAGTCTTTTTTTATCTTTACCATGGAATTTTCTGGTTTTAGTTATGATGATTGTAATTTGGAGTGGCAGGAGGAAGGAAGGTCATGATGTGTGGGTTGGTGCAGTACTTGAATTTATTTGGTGTAGCAATTGGGTACACAATTGCATCATCTGTCAGCATGATGTGAGTTTATTATTTACCTGAGTAGAGATTAAATTCATGTTTTTTTTTTTTTTTGGTAATCTGTTTTGATTTTATGGTAAAATTTATGCATATGATTTGTGAATTAGGGCAATAAAGAGATCAAATTGTTACCATAGAAGTGGAGGGAGAGATCCATGCCACATGTCAAGCAATGGGTATATGATAACATTTGGTATCATAGAGGTGATATTTTCTCAAATCCCAGATTTTAATCAAGTGTGGTGGCTCTCAATAGTAGCAGCAATTATGTCATTTACTTATTCTTCTGTTGGCCTTGGACTTGGCATTGACAAAGTTGCAGGTAAAACTAACAGTAATATTTATCATTATATATCAGGAAAATTAATGAAAAGTGCTTGAAAACTTGGAGTTTTAATGATAAGGACAAAATAAAGGGTAAAATGAATAGTACCAGGTTTGACTTTTTAGTATAAAAATGTGATTTTTCGTTAAAGTGAACGTACCGTAAGCTTTTCGTTAAAACTCCCTTATATATACACAACGTAAGGAAACACACAAATTAGTATTAGAGGGACACTAAATTGACCACAATCTACTTTTATTGACGTAATGAGTGTTCCTCGAGTTTTATTTTGATTAAATATTGTAATCAGTTTTGTTTGTGTGCATTTTTTAATGATATGTATATAATTTGGCATGTGCCTTTATAAACAGTTGCGTTTTCTGATGTCTTTTTGTTAGGAAATGGGAGCTTTAAAGGGAGCCTATTGGGTATTAGCATAGGGACCGTAACCAAGAGTGGAACAGTGACTTCTACACAAAAGATATGGAGAAGTATGCAAGCTCTTGGAGCTATTGCCTTTGCTTACTCTTATTCTTTGGTCCTCATTGAAATTCAGGTACACCAGAATTCCATCATATACTAATTAAAGAGCATCTCATTAAAATAACCACACAAAAAAATTTCACACGGAAACGATTTTTGCACGCTGATCATTTTTCTCTTATGCACCCTTAATATAATCCAAGGCTAGAAGTAAATATATATATGTTCATAGAGAGAAAATAAGTATGCGGAAACCACCTCTCTTTTTGCAAACATGTCAAATTTTGATTTGAAACATCTTAATGTTAATTCTAGCAAACTTGATGTATTGTGCAGGATACAATAAGATCTCCACCCGTAGAACATAAGACAATGAAGAAGGCAACTGTATTCAGCATAGCTATCACCACAGTGTTCTATCTACTTTGTGGATGCTTTGGGTATGCAGCCTTTGGTGACTTGGCCCCAGGAAACCTCTTGACTGGCTTTGGATTTTACAACCCCTACTGGCTACTAGACATTGCCAATGTTGCAATTGTTGTCCACCTTGTTGGTGCATTTCAGGTAATTCGCCCTCTCAGTCAGCTACTTTGTTGTGATCAAAATTATCTTATACATGTCTTACAACTCAAGTTGAATATTTTATAACTTTTCTGCAATCATTTTGAGTTGAAAGCCCATAAATATCCCTATTTGGAATATCCACGTGTTTTTTTTTAAATAGTTTCTAGTTACAATAAAATGGTAACAAACTCTTGGTCTAGCCTAAATCCGAACCATCCACCCTTTCCATTAAAGTTAACAAATATTAAGATATTTGTTCTTGACTAAAAATAAGGGTATTCCAGTCATTTTAATCCGAGAATGAGTAAGTTAAAAGGATTTATTTCAAGTATCAATGTATCACTCAACTCCTATATAACTAGATAATTACTTGTTAATTAAGCAAAGGTAACTCATTTAGTGACAAATAAAAAAGATTTTGCACTTATGCCAAATTGTTATTTGCACGGACGAATGACCAAGTATTTTTTCATTTTATGCAATCACCAAATTTTTTGTCTAGAGCAAAACTTCTAATTAAGCTTGTAAATCACTGCAGGTCTTTTGTCAACCATTATTTGCATTTGTAGAAAAATGGAGCGCAAAGAGGTGGCCAAACAGCGACTTTGTGACAGCAGAGTATGAGATACCGATCCCCTTCTACGGCGTCTACCAACTCAACCTCTTCCGCTTGGTATGGAGGACAATATTCGTCATAATAACAACCCTCATATCCATGCTCCTGCCCTTCTTCAACGACGTCGTTGGAATACTTGGAGCCTTTGGATTTTGGCCACTCACAGTTTACTTCCCAGTCGAGATGTACATTGCTCAGGAGAAGATTCGGAAGTGGAGCAGCAAATGGGTTGGACTTCAGATGCTCAGTGTAAGTTGTCTTTTCGTCTCCATAGCTGCTGCTGTTGGCTCTGTGGCTGGTGTGGTTCTTGATCTCCAGACTTATAAGCCCTTTAAAACTAGTTACTGACGACTGAAGAGAATCATGAACTGATGGTCTGCATATTAGGAATTTGATGATAAAAAGTAAATGTTTTTGTGATTGCTAGATATCTATGAGTTCCCATAAGGAATAAGATGTTCTCTTTTATTGTGTATGTAAATCTTATTTATGCCCATGAATGCATGCCCAGAAGTTTGGCTGCACGAGAAGAAAGAACTTGTAATTCACCATAACATTGCTACGTGGTGTTACGAAACTCAGAAATGCGAAACTAAGTGATCAATGGGCTTACAGTTAGAGCATCAAAATCTTTAAACCCATTATGCTAGATTTGCATCCATCAATCCGAAAGAGCTCCCTGCCTATGTGTAACAATTTATGAATAATATACCAGAAAATATAGACTTCTTGTTCACTTGCATTATAACACATTGACTAAAAACCATGTGGAACCCAAAAAGATATATTTTGTAGTTTAATAAAGCACAAACTTATGCATAAACCTCAATATTTCATTGAACCTAATCCCTCACATACTGTCATCTATTCCTTTCAAGTCCTCAATTTTTTCTCCTTAAAAAGGATTGTGCTTTTGCTTCTAGTGGTCAGCCTCATAGGTGAAGGACTTATCTGCACTGAGGACACTACCCAATGTTTTAAAAGGTTCACCTTAGGGCACACCTATACGCCCTGTGAGGCTGGGCTTGAGAGTTGCCGCCTCTGTTTTGAGGGAGTGGGTGGAAGGCGTCACCGGAGCTGCCTCAGGGGATTTTCTTTTTTTTTTTTATTTACTCCCAAACCCAATTTTGGGTAGGGTTTTAATTGCCTCATACCTCTTTGCACTATCATCTCTCTACCTTTTTTTTTTCTTCTGATTTTTATTTTTTTTATATAATGGATGTGTGTGCTGTCTGTGTACATTGTTATATGTGTACTCATTATGCTTTTCATCCTCTATTTTATATATATAATATAATATATGTATATATATGTGTGTGTGCTCAAGGTGATTATTGATTAATAATCTTTTTTTTAATGTAATATATGTGTACGTTAAGTGTATATATTAAAAAATTTAGGTCCCGTGAGGCTTCGCCTCATGCCTAGGCTGGGCTATCCCTCGGACGCTTCGTCCACGACTCACGCTTTTAATACATAGGCACTACCATGACGATATTTCAAACTAATAACAGAGTATTATGGAAGTGAATATATTAAAACACATAATATTACGTTATTTGATTTATGATATTGCTAAAATGGAATCTTATTGTTTGTAAGTCTCTCTCGCCATCGTGGCAACTGGAAACTGTCAACCGAATGCACAAATGGCCACTGCAAAGCAAACATTTAAGTCCTTCCTGAATAGCAACATGAAAAGACTCATTCCCAACATGTTGTACTTGGACTTGGCATTGGCAAAGTTGCAAGAAGAATCAATAATCTTAGATCAAATTTTAAAATTAAATTTGTAAATTAAATGATGTGTCACCAATAAGAAACAAGGAAGTTAATCGACATTTTGGTAATAATCCAATCATCTACAACCACATCATTTGATTTATAAATTTGGTTTAAAAAAGTTGCTCTCCCTAAATAGTAAGGCGTGTTCCAAACAATAAGTCTATAGGATTGGCATGAGCGGAGAGGGAGTTTAGCAAATACGCTAGGAAGGTAAAGCCAGTAAGATTTCTGCATATTGAAAACCTGCATTTTGAGCAATATGAGTAGATTATTTAGATATAATTCAACTACTAGCACTAGCTGCAGATCCAGTTTAAGCAGAATTCCAGACATAGTAAATGAAGAACAAAAATTAGAATTTCAAACAGATGACAGTGTTAACTTTGGAGATTGGAATATCCCCAAGGTTTTTAGTAAAAATATTTACAAAAAGAAATGGTCAATAGCCTTTTTTAGAAGTGAACACCATGTTAAAACAGTTAAAAAAGCTTATGCTCTTAGTAAAGAACATGAAACTTATCAATTATTCACACCAAAACAAATCAGAACTCATAGAAAAGATGGTTACAATTACATTCACATAGGTCTAGTCCAAATAGCAGTCAAGCCCTTAACAAGAAGAGGCCTCAATACCTCTATTTTGTTATGTCTCCGAGATACAAGATTCACTGACTTCAGTGAAAATATTCATGATCGAAGTCAAGTCTTTACAATGGTCCAATTCATTTTGATTGTTTCTCAGATCTCACAATAAGTCTTTCAGATCCCCACATGCTGAAAGCACTCACATTAAACATAAAAGCTTTAGGGTATCAAGTCCTTGAAGGTGTTCAACCATTACCTTTAATTTTCAGAGTCTTTTACAAAGTCACAGGAATAAATATGAATTTCCAAGCCTTAGTCAAAAGTCCTAGAGACCATACACTCCTAATCCAAATTAATCAAGAAAATGCCAACATTAAAATACCCAGGACCATTAGGTGGTTAGATATCAGTCTACCTTCAGATTGATGCTTGATTTACGAAAGCAAACCAGTTAGTATCCAAAATAGTTTAGACAACATAGAACAATATTTTGACGGAACAGTTAAAATCAACTTTGATCGTCCAGCTAGAAAATTTAGTGTCCACTTACACAAGTTAGCCCAATCAAACAAATCTTTATAACCAAGTAGGAATTCTTTTTCTGGATCCATTTCAGCCGAAATGGTGGGTCGAGATCAAGATTTAATCAATTCCTTAGTCAATAGAAAATTAAAAGCAGTAGAAACTAGGTTAATATTCACCCAACAAGAATTAATTAATGACTTGATCAACATAAAATTAAAATAGTTAGAAACAGCCTCTCAGGTGACTCATCCAAGATATCAGCCCAATACTCATAACCAAGGAGAACAAACCTCTCTAACAGAATCTGACTTCGAGGCAAGTCAAATCAACCACCAATTATTAGTCTTAAATAAACCATTCAAACCCTGATGGAAGAAACTCAATGCTGACATCGAAGCAACAGAAAATATTCCCAAAAGGAATATTTTTCGAAATAAATATACAAAAGAACAAAAATTGGACATTTACAATAAATTGACCAATTTCATGAAAAGCACAGATTTGAAGTATTTTTCTTCGATTTCGTTGAAAAATATTCCGAGTCTGAAAAGAAATTAGAAGTCATCACCAAAGAAAATTGGGTTAAAGAAGACAAAAGCATAGTCTCTTCTAGTTACCCTCCACAAGAAACAATTTTAATTACAACTGCAAAAACACAAGTACCAGCCACTCCTTTCAACCTTCCAAAAGAAGATGCAGGAGTCAAGCCAGTCATCGAACAAAACAATTTCACAAACCAAAGTCTACACACCATAGGAAAACAGTTAGACAAAATTGAAACCAAAATAGATAGACTTTCTCACCCAAAACCAACAATTAGGGAAAAACCCTTAGTCAACTTCTCAAAGTCTTCCTTTAGCACAATAGCTTTAAAAACAATTTCCACAAGTCAAAAAATAGATCAAATGTTACAAGAATTAAAACAAGAAAAAATAGTCAATGTTTAACAACATCCAGATGAATCTCAATCAGAAACAATTTCTACAATATGGGATTCAGAAGGCTAATGTGAAACAAACTCCATCATAAAAGTAGAAAAAGCTTTACAAAAACTTGAATTAAAACGAATCCCAAACAAAAAGAGTCAACCCAACAACTCTTACCAGAAATTGGTATCCAAGGCCAACACCTACAGATATTCAATTTGAGAAAAGAAACATCCAAAATCAATTCTCAGTCTCAGCTGATAAACTCTATTAATGGAACATAGATGGATTATCAGAACAAGAACTTTTGAACAAATTACAACACATCTCCATGGTTGCTAATAGTTATATTACCAATCATAACCTCAGTTAAACCCAAGTTGTCAACCTTTTAGTCACTGGATTTATAGAAATGCTCCATTCCTGGTGGGAAAAACATCTCACTGAACAATCAAGAAATGAAATTAAAAATGCAGTCAAAAGAGACGAAGATGGAACACCCATCTTTGATGAGCATATAGGGTGAGGAGTCCTAGATGCAATCAACACATTACTTTTCACCATTAAAGAACATTTCATAGGGACATCCAGTAATGTCACCTCCAGAATTCATGACCAACTTAGTGACTTAAGATGTCCAACCTTAAGTGATTTCGGATTGTACAAAGATGTTTTCATGTCTAGAGTCATTCTTAGAGAGGATAGTAATCAACCATTTTGGAAAGAAAAATTCATTAACAGATTACCAAATCTATTTGCCCATAAAATTAGAAATGTTTAGTTAATGAAGAAAGTATCATACCATATCATACCCTTATTTATGGAAATATTATTAATATTATCCAGAAAGAAGAATTGAAAATGTGTATTGATATGAAAATTACAAAACAAGTCAACAAAAACAAGTCAATAGCCAAATACAAATTAAGAACATTTTGTGAACAATACAGATTACCTCTTATTGCTCCATCCAACAAAAAGAAAAAATCAAAAGCCTATAATAGGTACCCAAATAAGTACTCAAGTAGGAGACATCCCAAATATAACAAATTCAAAAATAAGAATTTTGAAACAAATAAATTTTACGAGAAACCCAAGTCCAGCAAGTGGAAGAGGAAACCCTCAGGAAAATTCCACTCCAAAAACCAAGAACAAAAAGGAAATTGATACAAGTGTGGCAAATTTGGTCATTATGCAAACAAATGCAAAGTCAAGAAAACAATCAACCAATTGAAAAATCTCTGAAGAAGAGAAAACTTAGCTAATCCAAGTCTTAGAATTAAGAGATACAGACCATAGTCAATCCGAAGATGATTTAGGTTCTAATTCGTCTTCTTCCAGTAATTCCTCAAGTAGTCTTTCATCCCCCGACATTAAAATAGTATGCACTGACACTTGTTGTAAAAATATTTTAGTACTCAATAAATAAGAAGAACAAGAAGAGCTTCTTATCGAGTTAATCAGCAAAGTAGATGACCCTGAATTAAAGTCATTTTATTTAAAGAAACTTAAGAAGTTAGTCTTCCCTAAAGAAGCCAGTACTAGTTAACCCCAAGTGGCTCCAAAAATCTGTCTTAACATAACCCTGGAAAGGTTTAATAAGGCTAAGAAAGAAATTACGATCAAAGATCTACAAAGAGAAGTCAACAAAATTAAGGAAGAAATTAAATCCTTAAAATCAGAAAGCATAGAAATTCGCTCACATCTCAGTAGTATCCAAACACAAGCACTCCTTGACAATAATGATGAAGAACACAATAGTTCTTCCTCCAACCAAGAGTCAGAATCCAAATCCATAGAAAATCCAA